CCGCGGTTAGATTAGATTTTCTAACATATTCCTTTTTTTCACACACAAAGTAGAGTATAATCGTAAAACACGTTACTAGAATTATGCTACTTATACGCGTTAATATGTATGCATGAGAGATGTCTTTTCAGAAACAGCTGCGTATTATACGTTATAATGAGTTACTGGCGCTGAGTTTGATAGCATAGAACAAATGCGTCCTTGATCCACTCGCCATAGATTCCGTATCTACACTAGATAATGAAATAGTGTAGTGGATACACATTTTCAAAGCGATTGCCATCTACTTCTAATTGTTACGGACATACGCAAGGACCAACCACGTCGCTTTTGACAAGCAAATCTTCAACGTTTTTTTTTTTATGCAAAAATCTAATTTGAGATTTTGAAGATCATTTACTGTAAAACAAGCCTTTTCCGTCCCCTTAGTATCATCCGCGATATTTTAAACTGTGACTTATATTTGCACCGGTAGCAAAAGATTAAGTAATTTAAATTAGCACTGCAGACGTGTGTACAATCTAATAACAACGTCCCTTCGGAGATCTATAGAAACGGTCCGGAAAAATTCCACGCGCGATCGATGATGCATCACGGAAAAGGGTGTTGGGGCTAGAAAGCGAGAAGGGATCAAGGGACGACTAATGAAGTCCTAATAAACGGCGCCGAAACTCAGACAGGCGCGGCACCCTTCCGACTTGATATTTAATACAAACGTTACAATATCAAAACACGTCCTCTGGGCTCCGAATGCCCACTCGAGCGCACCCCTTGGTCGCGCGCGCGGTTAATACAGGCTGCCTAAAGGTGTAAGTATCGCGCACCCCTGCCGTTGTACCGGCTCTAATACGAGCACACACGCACATCCCTTCAGTTCAGAATCCGCGGAGAGACGAGAGACGACGAGGAGCTGACTGTAATTCCCTGGTGTTCTCGTGCTCGTACACACAATGGCCGGATGGACGACGCGAGAGAGATGGGGGTGGGGTGGGATGGGGTGGGA